TTTCAATTACGCCAAGAGAACGCATGGTCTTCCAAAACGTTTTCGGTGTTGTATAAGATAACTTCTGATAAATGTAAGTTTTTTTGGCATTTCGGCAACGGTGGTTACAGAGGTTCTGTAGAACGCGGTAGTTTTCTCTATTAATAGGATTAGAATATTAGAATAGGATTAGATTTTATCAGTTCAAAACATTTCCAACAAACTTTTCCACGTTTTGGTACTTCTAGTACCATTTCCGTTTCCTCTTTCAAATTTTTTATGTATCCTTCTGACCAACCTTCTGAATTGTCTACTATCTTGACAGAAGTTCTCTTCCCCAGAGTTTCTTTTTGCCCATTTTAAAACTCTCTTACAGTTGTTCCTTTTCTGCATGTACTCTTCATACTCTGGTTGCTGTCTTGTCCTCTTCCATTGCCTCCATGCCGCCTTATTCTCTGTTACTACTTCCTTGACTTTATTATTCCATCTACTGGTGCTTTTCATCACATTTATCCCAGCTGCTGGTGCTCTTAGCTTTTCCCATCTTATTCTCTAATTCTTAGTTTTCTTTCTCGGTCTCGCTCCCTTAAATACAGTATCTGCCACCAGCAAATGATGGTCTGTAGAAAGCTCTGAAAGATTTCTTCTACACAAACTTAATTTTATTAAATTTAAATTAAGCTAGATTACGGCTCTAAATTATTATAACTCCAAATTTTATTCTTTACTTATACATTTTTACCCTAAAATACATTTTTTAGTTCGAGTTTCATAATAAATTTTTGGTTATCTAACTAAATATTATTTTTAAATTAATTTCTTAAGGATTCTTTGTAACCAATCCAGCCGGTCCTTTAGCAGTAGCAACTTGCCCTTCGGGCAAAACCCTCATCGGACTAAATCCAAGCTCATTCTTCGGGATTCCATATTGCACCATTTTCTCTTCATAAGTATCAACCAAATCATCGTGAGCCTTACAAACCCTCGCCAATTCATATTGCAAATCAGCAATCGTCTTATTCTTTTTATTCAATATATTCTAAAAATAAAAATTAAATTAAATTTTGTTGTAGGAATCTTTTTAATTTAATTTCACCTCAAACTTAGCATTTAACCCCGATGGTAATTTCTTAGTCGTTGTTAATTCCCCGATTATTGCATCTTTAGTTTCCGCATCATTGGTTAAAGTTTCGATTCGTTTCTGTAGGAGAGCATTTTTTAGCCCAGTTTTTTGTTGCACTTCTAAGACTCCGATAACAAATCGGTTATGAAGCTCATCTTTTTCGGCTTGCAACTTTTCAAAACGCAGTTCTAAAGCTTCGTTATGCCAACGGATATCGTCGAGTTCCTTTTGGGATTGTCCCAATTTAATTTTTGTGTTCTAAAAGATTAAATGATTAAAAATAAATTTAATTAAATTCTTTGGAATTACAGCTAAAGAAATTTTATCTTTCTCGTAATTAACTAATTGTCGTTTATATTCCTTAACATCGAGTAAAGCTTGTTTTAACGGTTCGGTTAATCGTTTATTTTCGTGCGTTAAATCGGTGACTTGTTTTGACATCCTTTCGTTTTGTTTCCTTAAAACTTCCATTTGATCTTTTAAGCTGCTTATTAAGGCTAGATTATTTAAGGTGATATCGTTGTAATAATTTTTCATATCGTTGAAAGACGACTCGTTATTTCGCGTTAAATCGTTAATTTGCGTGTTTTTTCTTTCCTCGACTTCAGACATTTCCATGCGATGTTTTATCGCCAATTCTTCTTTTAAGTTTTGAAACCTCTTTTCGTATTTCATCTCGAGTTCTTTGGCTTGTTGTAAAAAATCTTCTCGGGCGTTGTGGAGGTCTTCGCTGAATTGCATCTTTAACGCTTTGATTTGATCCAAATTATTCATCTCTTGCTCTCTTAGGTTACATTTTAATTCTCGCTTATCGTTTAGTAATTCTTTTTCTTGCTCGGTGTGGTCGTCTAAAGCTTGTTTTAACGAAACCATAGCTTCGGCTTTGGTTTCTGTTAGATCTAATTGGTGCTCGTATTGGAGATGTTTCACTTTTTGCTTAAAAAATCTTAATTCCTCCTCGTTCGCTTCGGCTGCTTCTTCAATTTGGCGATCTTTGTTGCGTAATTTAGCTTTAACCTCGTCCAATTCGCTCCGGGTGATTTCCCAAAATGTGCGGATTTTATCCCGTTCCATTTGGAAGAAATTTCTTTCCTCCCGTTCGCGGTCATTTTGCTCTTTTATGCTTATTGCGAAAACTTCGAGTTGTTCTCGACTCATCGGAGTTGTATCCACTCCATCGATTATGACTAAAAGAATTACATAAAATGATGAAAGATGCTATAATTAGATGTTTGTTGTTAAATGAGGTCATCGAGGTGTGAATAAATGCATTATTTAACTTACTGGCTGGTTTCTTTTTGTCTTTCTTAGGCGGCTAAAAGTTAAAATTAAAAATTAGGCCTAATTAAATTCTTAAATGCAATAATTACCATGATTAAAATTAATTTGCTCCGAATACGAAGAAAGTTTTGTTGACGTTAAACTGACATAATCGATCAAACTTTAATATACATTTAAAGTTATTTGTGTCAAAATTAATTAATTTCTTAACAATTTGCTCTAAATTAAACGAAATTCATAAAATTAAACAACTTATTTTTGTTAAATAATTATTTAAATTTAAATAAATAATGAAATAGGCAACCAAATACACACGAAAACATAATTGGTTGCATACACAACATAATTTTTAATTTATTTATTTTATAACAATTAATTATATTGATTAAAACGATCACGCTTCTTGATGACTAAAGATTAACGCGTGTTTTGTTATAAACAATTTAAATGCGTCTCAACTTTAGTTATTTTTAAAATGAATTTTTTGAATTAATTAATTTAATTATTTACAACAATTAAGAATTAAATTAAGATGTAGACGAAAATTGATGGATTCGTTAATGCGAATTACTCAATTAGCGATTTTAAATAATTTAATTATCGATCGTTCGCTAATTATCGAAGGCGAATAATTAAATTGTTTGTTAAAAATTTAATTATTACCTCGGTGTGAATTAAATTTCGTAAATTTTCCAACAATAATTAATTTATTTTTACAATATTCTGAAAATGGTGATCGGATCTAGAGCAAAAACACCTTTGAAAATGGAATGTTGGTCTAAATACCTCTACATCTTCAAGGTTTAATTAGTGATGTAATTAACACCACGGTAAAAAAGTCAATAAACAAAAAAAAATCTCTTTATTACATCTTTTTAAATAGAGGAAGTAATAAAACATCAAATTTAACGACTAATTGTTTTAAATGTTTATTTTTTATCATCAACCTTGAACGTGAAAAATATTTTAATAACACTTTCTAGTACTTTAAACTTTAAATGTATTTATTTATAAGAAAAAAAAATCGTTTCTTTTTTTAGTAACGCAATTTATTTCATTGCGTCTCAACTTCGTGCTGTCTCTTCTGATGGTAAATAATTTAAGACGTAGAAGAAAAAAACAAGACGTGTTATACGTGCACACCTAATGGCATTTTTCAGATTAAAAATAGACAAGAACTTAGAAAAAGTTCTTTTCGTGCTGAGTAAACAAGTCGATTTTAAACAATTTAACTGTTTTTAACCGTTTCCACGATAATGCGACAAAAATTATGGTGGAATTTGATTTCAACCTTGATTTCTTACAAATTGAAGGTTAGAAAACCACAACAATCAGACTTTTTTTAAATGTTAATTAAAGGTTTTGGGCGTAACATCCTGGGTTAAGAAATTAAGGGGATTTTTATGGTTTAAAAATAAATCATAATAACTTTACACTTGATGGAGTTTTGCTAACAACCACCAGAAATAAATGCTGATATGGAACGCTGTGTATAAAGAGATTTTTAACAACATTGATAAAGACAAGTCATCCAATGACAACAATTTGAGAAGATTGGGTTATGAAACATTTTTAAGTTATATATACCAAATTATAAGGTTCAACCATTCATTTTATATATATTTTTAAAAATTTCTGATTTAATTTGACGTTTCTTAAACAAAAAAATGTTTTCTCAAAATTAGTTAAGATTTAAGTAATGAAACTTTTTGAGGTTATAAAGAAACGTTTGAGGTTAGCTTATGCCAAATATTATGTTTCCAAAGAGAACCCTTCGTTATATATATGCTTTCAAATATTGATGGTTTGATTCGATTTTTTTGAAAATGACGTTAAGGAAAAAATTGTTTTCTCCTAAACGGTTAGGATTAAAGAAATGAAACTTTTTGAGGTTATAAAGAAACGTTTGAGGTTAGCTTATGCCAAATATTATATTTCCAAAGAGTACCCTTCGTTATACATATGCTTTCAAATATTGATGGTTTGATTTGATTTTTTTGAAAATGAGGTTAAGGATAAAATAATTTTCTCCTAAACTGTTAGGATTAAAGAAATGAAACTTTTTGGGGTTATAAAGAAACGTTTGAGGTTAGCTTATGCCAAATATTACGTTTCCAAAGAGAACCCTTCGTTATATATATGCTTTAAAATGTTGATGGTTTGATTCGATTTTTTTGAAAATGAGGTTAAGGAAAAAAATTGTTTTCTCCTAAACGGTTAGGATTAAAGAAATGAAGCTTTTTGAGGTTATAAAGAAACGTTTAAGGTTAGCTTATGCCAAATATTATGTTTCCAAAGAGAACCCTTCGTTATATATATGCTTTCAAATATTGATGGTTTGATTTGATTTTTTTGAAAATGAGGTTAAGGAAAAAAATTGTTTTCTCCTAAACGGTTAGGATTAAAGAAATGAAACTTTTTGAGCTTATAAAGAAACGTTTGAGGTTAGCTTATGGCAAATATTATGTTTCCAAAGAGAACTCTTCGTTATATATATTATGCTTTCAAATATTGATGGTTTGATTCGATATTTTTAAAAATGAGGTTAAGGAAAAAAATTATTTTCTTCTAAACGGTTAGGATTAAAGAAATGAAACTTTTTGAGGTTATAAAGTAACGTTTAAGGTTAGTTTATGCCAAATATTATGTTTCCAAAGAGAACCCTTCGTTATATATATGCTTTCAAATATTGATAGTTTGATTTGATTTTTTTGAAAATGAGGTTAAGGAAAAAATTGTTTTCTCCTAAACGGTTAGGATTAAAGAAATGAAACTTTTTGGGGTTATAAAGAAACGTTTGAGGTTAGCTTATGCCAAATATTATGTTTCCAAAGAAAACCCTTCGTTATTTATATGCTTTAAAATGTTGATGGTTTGATTCGATTTTTTTAAGAATGAGGTTAAGGAAAAAAATTGTTTTCTCCTAAACGGTTAGGATTAAAGAAATGAAGCTTTTTGAGGTTATAAAGAAACGTTTAAGGTTAGCTTATGCCAAATATTATGTTTCCAAAGAGAACCCTTCGTTATATATATGCTTTCAAATATTGACGGTTTGATTTGCCTTTTTTAAAAATGAGGTTAAGGAAAAAAATTGTTTTCTCCTAAACGGTTAGGATTAAAGAAATAAAACTTTTTGAGGTTATAAAGAAACATTTGAGGTTAGCTTATGCCAAATATTATGTTTCCAAAGAGAACCCTTCGTTATATATATGCTTTCAAATATTGATGGTTTGATTTGATTTTTTTGAAAATGAGGTTAAGGAAAAAAATTATTTTCTCCTAAACGGTTAGGATTAAAGAAATGAAACTTTTTGGGGTTATAAAGAAACATTTGAGGTTAGCTTATGCCAAATATTATGTTTCCAAAGAGAACCCTTCGTTATATATATGCTTTCAAATATTGATGGTTTGATTTGATTTTTTTAAGAATGAGGTTAAGGAAAAAGTTGTTTTCTCCTAAACGGTTAGGATTAAAGAAATGAAACTTTTTATGGTTATAAAGACACGTTTGAGGTTATGTTATACCAAATTTTGAATTTCCCGTGTGACTATTTTATTTTATACAAATTTTTAGAAACTCTAAATTAATGCTGAACGCTTTGGCATAAGCGAATTTATTTTGATGTTTTTTTTAACTAATTAAAAAACAATTTAAGAATGTTTTATTTCCAAGAACTTTCTTGTTGCATCTTTTAAGAACAAAGATGCGAATTTTCCACTTTCTAAACAAATCGTTTTCTCGATGCAACCTGGTTTATAACACTTTCTTCAATTGAACGTATATCGTTTACTATCACTTTTCTAAATCGGTTTTTTAAACGATCTAAATCACGACGTATTATCGTTATTGGCAATCGCTAACGTGATTGAAAATTAATTAAAAACTATGGAGGAAAAATAAAAATTATTGCGGTTATTAAACGTTTATGAGTTAAGGAATTGAATTGAAATAAAACCACAAAAAGTACTAAACCGATTTTTTTTATAGTTTTTATTGGAGTTTATTGATTTTTTTTTCTGAAATTTCTTCCAATAATACGTTTTGAGTGAATTTTAATTTTTTTGTTACACAAAAATTACGTCATTCCATTTGAAATTGCGTTGAATTTTCCTACTAAGTAATCATTATCTTGGCTATAATTTTTCAAATCGTTCTCTATAATTTTTTTTTATTCGCCTCGTTTCATTTCAAGAAAATTACGCTTACAAAGAAATATTTTTCATCCCAGCGAAATAATAGCTAAGGTGTGTTTCGATATTAATTATTATGTAGTATTGAATTTCCGAACGGGTTGAATCATATTTCTTTCAGCTTTTAGTCATCATTCATCATCGAATTAAAGTTAAATGTTAAACGAAATGGCTCCTTTTTTTTTGCACTTGCAATCTTCGTTTGATTGAGCAATGAACTAACTCTTGCTCAAGTTCCGTTCTAATATATGTAAGAAGATTGAAGAAGGTGTGATGTAATTAAATAATTTTCATTCTCTTTCTAAGATGTTTACTTATTCAACCAAAATCGAAAGGAAAAATCTATCGGTTCGGATGACATGTTGTAACCTACTTCAGAAACAAGTTCGAATAATAACTTAAACTAGACTTAGAAATAGAAACATTCGGGTTTAGTGTTAGTTCACTTTAGTATTTTTAAATGGAACACTCTATTTACTAGATGTTAATGGTAGCACTCCGGAATCGGAGCNAAACATTTAAGGTTAGCTTATGCCAAATATTATGTTTCCAAAGAGAACCCTTCGTTATATATATGCTTTCAAATATTGATGGTTTGATTTGATTTTTTTGAGAATGAGGTTAAGGAAAAAAATTATTTTCTCCTAAACGGTTAGGATTAAAGAAATGAAGCTTTTTGAGGTTATAAAGAAACGTTTAAGGTTAGCTTATGCCAAATATTATGTTTTCAAAGAGAACCCTTCGTTATATATGGGTGATTATACAGAAACTATCATTTTTCACATGGTAATTTGAAAATAGTTTTTTTTTCCAAATTTTGTTTTTTAATACACAAACACGAACTTTTGTTCAAAATGAACCTTGCAACGTTCAAGATCAAACAGTTCAATTATTTTCTAGCCAGAATTGACTTGTTTTTGTAAAAGCGATATGCAGAGGAACGACCAGATAAGCAGAGGAATGATTTTTTAATTTGATACGGCAAAATA